CACAGATTTTGTGTTGTTGTATGTTTATTTTCATGGGTTTCCAGGAAGTTTTAAATTTCTTCCTTGATATCCTTGGTAAATATTCATTGTTTAATAGCATGCTTTATAGCTTCCATGTATTCAAATGTCTTTGCATGTTCTTGTTGCAATTAATTTCTAGTTTCATGCCATTGTGATCTGAGAAGATGCTTGATATGATTTCAATCTTCTTGGACGTGTAGAGACTTAGTTTGTGTCCTAACATGTGGTCTATCTTTGAGAATGTTCCATGTGCGCTTGAGAAGAATGTGAAAATTGCAGTTTTGGGGTGTAATTCTCTGTAGGTATCTATTAAATCCATTTTATCTAATGCTTCATTTAGAGTCTCTGTTTCCTTGCTAATTTTTTGTTTAGAGGATCTATCCAGTGATGTCAACGGGGTGTTAAAGTCCCCTGCTATGATTGTATTGCTGTTGATTTCCCCTTTGAAGTCCTCCAGAAGATTTTTAATATATTTTGGTGCTCCTATATTGGGTGCATATATGTTTACCAAGGTTATATCTTCCTGTTGGATACATGCTTTCAATATTATGTAGTGGCCTTTTTTGTCTTTAGTTATGGCCTTCATTTTGAAATCTATTTTATCAGATATGAGTATTGCTACCCCAGCTATTTTTCCTTTCTGTCTGTTTGGAAGATTTTTCCCATCCCTTCACTTTCAACCTATGTGAGTCCTTTGTTGTGAGGTGGATCTCTTGGAAACAACATATAAATGAGTCATGTTTTCTTATCCAATTAGCTACTCTGTGTCTTTTGATCAGAGTGTTCATTCCATTTACATTTAGTGTGATTATTGATATGTACTTCTTTATTGCCATTTTTGTTTACTTTGGTTATATATTTTTTCCTCTTTCTTCTACTAATTACAGCTGTTGTTTTAACATTTCTTGCAGTGATGGTTTGGTGCTAATATAGTCCCTTAGCCTTTTTTTTTTTTTTTTTTTTTTTTTGTCTGGGAAGCTCTTTATTTGACCTTCTATTTTGAATGATAGCCTTACTGGATAGAGTAGTTTTGGATTCAGATCCTTGTTTTTCATGACCTTGATTACTTCATGCCATTCCCTTCTGGCTTGTAGTGTTTCTATTGAGAAGTCAGTTGATAGCCTTATGGGAGTTCCTTTGTAGGTAACCTCTTCCTTATCTCTTTCTGCCTTTAGGATTCTCTCTGTGTCTTTAATTTTTGGCATTTTAATTACTATGTATCTGGTGTGGTCCTATTGGGGTTCTTACTTGGGTCTCTATGCCTTCTTTCTTCACCAAGTTAGGGAAGTTTTCTGTCACTAGTTCTTCAAATATATTCTCAAACCCTTGCTCCTTTTCTTCTTCTGGAAATCCCATGATGGGAATGTTGTTACATTCTTGTTGTCCCACGGTTCTCTTAAGCAGTTTTTCTGTTTTATTCATTGTTTTTTCCATTTGGCTTTCTTATTGGTTGATGTTTTCTACCCTGTCTTCTAATTCACTGATCCAGTCCTCAGCTTCTCTACTCTACTTTTTAGTCATTCCAATGTGCCCTTAATTTCTACTGTCATTCTTTATTTCTTCTTGGTGTTTTTCATTTCCAATTGGATGATTTTTTAATGATTTTATATCTTTACTCATGGTGTTGAGCTCCTTACTCATGCTTTTGCTCTTCTTCAAGATCATGGCTCTGAACTCTACTTCTAAAAACTATTTAACTGCATTTAATTTATCTCATCTTTCAGAGAGTTCTCTTGTTCTTTCATTTGGGATTCGTTTCTTTGTTTCACCATTTCGGCTATCTCAGTGGGTTTTGGAACCTGCCAAATTTTCCTTATGGGTGTTGGTATTCTGCTGTTTGTGGCTCTCTCTATTGGGTTTGGATGAGTGTGGGGGAACCCACGTTAAACACCACTGTCAAGTCTTACTTTCCTGGGTAGATTTGCAAGCCCAGGAAGGGTTCAATTATCCTCTAGCTTTTTGTCTGAGAGCTATTAGTCACAGTTACTTGATAAGCCTTGGGTTGTAGGCCTCAGCTAAATGAAAAACTCCCTCAAGTGTTCAGCATAAGAGGATTTCTGGAGGGTGAGGCAGATGCTGGTTGTTAATGAGCCTCAATTTGTATTTCTCTGGCCCAGCTGTATGGTGTGAAATCTTCAATGGAGGGGCTGCTTGTTCTCCTCAGAGCTGCGGGAAGGAGCAAGATAGCCAATGTTCTGTGTGGCTGGGACTCAGCAAAAACTCTGAGCATCCTCCAAATCCAAAGTGTCCCCACTCAGTTCTAGTCCAGTCCACCGTCCCTCTGCTGGAGCCCAACATGAGTGGCTGTAGCTAATTTAGTGCTGTGTCCCAGCCCTCTGTGCTGTGGAGCTGGCTTGGGAATTTAACCCAGAGGAAGCTGCTCACAGTTAAATCAGCTGCTGTTCATGGGCTCCCAGCCCGCCCCCTTGCACCTCTGAAGACTTAGCAGACTCAATTCAGTGTCCTTTCATTCATTGTCCTTTCTTCCTGTCCCCGGTTATATGGGTCCTCTCTAGCTGCTTTTCTGTTGTTGTTTTTTTTCCTCACCCGAGGACATTTTTCCATTTTTTGTTCAGATAGAGCGGGAGGGAGAGAGAGAGAGAAACATCGACGTGAAGAGACACATCGAGTAGCTGCCACCCGCACGACCAACCAGGGCCGGGGACAAACTGCAACCGAGGTACGTGCCCTTAGCGGGAACCGAACCTGGGTCTCCCTGTACCACAGGCTGACGCTCCAACTGCTGAGCCAAACCGGCCAGGGCCTGACGATTTGTTTTTATTTTAGTTATAATTCCAGTTTGGTCCTGGAAGATGGTCTGTGTAGCTTCCATTCACTCCAGTGCCATTTTGGAATCTTTCTAACAACTATATTTTAATAAAAGTGGCTTCCTTGGCAATCCTTTGTATTTCATCTTGTGCATTTCTCCAGACTGCCAAACGGTTTGATGGCACATTGGAAATTAGTGTCTCTGCCGTGGATCATGAGTAGAAAACTTCACAAATAGGTAGAGTTAGTAAGTTTGCTGTACCCTTGCCTTGTGCTCTAACCTCGGTTGAGCTCAGTTGGCCTAACACTGAATAAACATAAAGAGCAGCAACCATGTGTCCCATGACTCAGTCTGCCCCACCCTACTTCAAGGTGGGGAGGTTCACACTATGAAAAGACTAGGGCCCTGAGCTCAACCACATATATTCAAAATTTTCCAGGAGAGGCCAAGTTACGGGCTCAGTATGTGGGTGAAGCTATGCGTCACTCAATCCCAGTCTACCTTGCACAGTGACACACCAGGGGTAGTGTGCATCTGCCTCTACAGATTGAGAACCAGGCCTGAATGACAGTGAGGAGGGAGGCCTCCCCTTCCTTCCTTCTGTAGCTGTAGGCTGTGGGCTGTGAGGATGCTGCTGCAGAGGATGGTGACCAGTGTTTGGACCAAACCTCCTCAGCTCAGGGAGTCTGTGGGGCCATAGGCTCTTCATGTGGCACGAAGGGCAGCAGAAAACAAGGGTAGCAGCCAAGGACTGCATGGATTTCCTGTTGGTCTCAGGACTCCTGGACTCCTTGAACAGTGGATCGACTGAACATGGGAAAGAGACCCCCCAGCAGGGAAAAGAATGTTCTTGCTGTTCTGAGACGGATACTTGACTGACTTAAGATGAATATTTTAAAAATATGACTTTATTATCTATGTACTTCAGGCTGGTAAAGCAGGGTGTTTAGCTATACTTCAATAGCTCTCCGTTTTTCCTAGTACAACATCCAAACTTCTTGCCGCGGCCTTAAATGACCTCAGGACTCTGGGTCTTGTTCCCTGGTCTCAGCTCATCATCTCCCCTTCCAACCTGAGGAAAGTTCCCCTCAGACCTCATGACTTCTCTTTCTTTAGGTGCACCATGCTCAGTGTCTCCCAGGCCATGGACCATGCTCACCTTACATCCCTGCTGGTTAACCCAAGTTCCACCCACTGGCTTTACTAACCACAGCTTTATCTCCTCACGCTCATGCCAGACATGCCTCCTGTCCTGGAGAAATGGTGACTGCCCCATGGATTCCTGCACAGGTCTCTTTCTTAGGTTTATGACCCACTTTGTCACACCCCCAGCATTGTACTGTAGATTTGATTGTGTCCCCTAAAATGGTATGTTGAAGTCCTACTCCTGGGTATCAGAGACTTTATCTGAAAATAGGGCTTTTGCAGATGCAATCAAGTCAAGGGGAAGTCATATCAGATTAAGGTGAACCCAAATCTGATTATCTGATTACTGGTATCTTTAAAAGAAGGGGGACTCTGGATGGAGACACACACAGACACAGGAAGTCCGCCATGCGACAGCAGAGGCAGAGATTGGAGTTACACATCTACAAGCTAAGAAAAGTCCAGGATTGCCTGTAACCCTCAGAAACCAGAAAAAGGCAGGGAAGGGCCTTCTAAAAGCCTTCTGAGAGAGAGAGAGCATGGCCCTGCTCACACCTTGGTGTCACACAGACTCTAGAACTGTGAGTGAATAGATTTTAATGTTCTAAGCCACTAAATTTGTAGAACCGTGTCACAGCAACCTTAGGAGATGGATGTACACAGCAAATTTGGTTTTGGACTATAACTACCTATCTTTTTGTTTCGCTAGAGTAACCCCCATGAAGACAGAGACTATATCTGGCTTGTCCATCATTATTTACCCAGCTCCCTGAACACTGAAAATTACATATTACACAGAAAATAAATATTAGTTCCATAACTGAACAGGAAAAACAAAAAAAACATTGCTTATTTGAAGAAAGTAGTTTTCAAAAAAGACAGAGAAGAAAGTGTTTAGGTTGTGAGTCAGAAAGGCAGCAGAATCCAAAAGGAAAAGACTATTTTTGTGTAACTGAAAGTGTGAGATGGGTGTTTCTACTTAACTCTCTTAGACAAGGTATACAGTACTGTTGCATGACAATTTTTCAAATACATCAACAAGTCCATGAAACTTATTCTCCATTTATTTTAAGTTGAAGACACATCTTAGAAGGTGGTCATGTTTTCACAATGGACCAAAACAGATTGCTCTGCAAGTCAATGCACAGTTGATTTCTCATTCAATGAGCACCTACGCTTTCTTAGTCACACAACAGCCAGGACCTACATCTAGGTAGAGCACGGCACTGTTGGAACATTTCAGAAGATGGATGCTGCGTGTGCTGGGCATCCATGCCTGCTTTATTTAAAACTTGAAAATCTTCCTGGCTTCTTCTAACATTTTTGCATCTATAGGAGGCTTCCTCTGACTGCCGGGCTGCAGAAACTTCTTCACAGTCGGGAGGTTACTGATTCTGGTCCTCAGGGCCTGCAATGCAGAGAGCACAGCCTCAGAGGGGAGACAGAACACCCACCCCATCATTAGCACAGGCCAGGGGATCTGAGACCCTCCTAGGCCAGAACCAGCGAAGTCCCCTCCATCAGCACCAGTAGGAGGCTGGGAAACACACGCCAGCGAGAGGGGAAGATCAGGGGAAGAAAACACAGCTCAGTAGCACTTTCCCCAGAGACCAGGTGATGACTTGATTCAGCTCACACTCTTCCCTGTCTTCTTTGCTACATGGAAGTTCTGCAGCTTCCTCCCTCTTGTGCAGACAAGGAGGCCTATGCCTCTGTCAGAACAGCACAGGCAAAGGCTCCAAATGGGAAAAATGAAGATGTGGGAAAACTGGGCTGGAACTGAAGATAGGAAATATAGACGGCCAACCATGAGCACAGTCAAAACCAAGTTGCCCTTTGAGAGAGAAAGACAGAAGGAGAGAGAGGGGCTGTGGGGAGAGAAACACAACATCTGGGAGAAGGGGCAGGTGCTGAGGGAAGAAAATCAAAGGAAGGAGACCTGCTCCCACAGACTCAGGTAGCATAGACAAGGACACACCTGGAAGAAAGGGAATCCCAGACAACATGAGGACAGAAACTGTGGGGACAGGGATGCAAGGACAGAGATGCTGAGTCCAGGGTCCTTTGCACTGTGATAGACAAACTGTTCTCCTTGGGATAGCATCCACCTCCAATCTTTTGACCAAACAAGATTATTTTCCTATCTCAGACCAGGGCCTACAAGCAAATTTTGGACACCTGGGGGCAGTAAGCCTGGACCATGATGGGATCCAGCCATGACAGTCCAAGAGCCAAAATATTAGATTCCAGATGGGAGATGGGGGCCTTCCCTCCCAAGGACTGTGAGAGACGTCACCTTCAGCAGAGGGAAGTTGGCCAGAAGGCTAGGATCAATCTCTTCAACATAGCACATAAGTTCAACCATGTGGATGTCAGCCCTGCTCAGCTTGTTGCCAACCAGGTAGTCTTGTCCATGGCTCTTCAACACCTGGTGAATTGGAGGGGTCAGATTATGAACACAGGCACAGTCAGGCTGGGTCCCCCTGCTCCTGCCCAGGTCTCTCCAGCCCGACTTTCCACCTCTGCTGCCTCACTGGGCAGGTGTGGAGCATCACACCACATTCACGCCCCTGCTTCAGTGAGAGGGAGAAGCAGGTCTCTGCTGCCCGTTCCACCCTCCTCAGTTAGAGTCCAGGTTACCATTTCCTTTTCTCCTCCCACAGCACTGGGGCTCCCTATGTGCACCTTCAGCTGGCCCAGGGCTAGCACTGGCTGCACCCTGTGACCCCATGCCCTACAGTTTGTAATCCTGAACTTTAGCACATGGCTCTCCATCTCTGTCTCTGTCTGTCTTTCTCTCTCCTTCTCTTTCTTCTCTTTCACTTGGGCAAAGATCCATCTTCATGACATCCTTCTTCAGTCCTGAGCAGACTATTTCAGAGTCTTCATTTCTCCTCTGTCTGTTCTCCTCGTTCCTGGTCTATCACTTTGGAACTTTATGCAAACCTGGGTCAATTTGATTTCACCATGTCCCTTACAACATGGGCTCTGGCTCCTGACTTGCGCTGTGCTATGATCTGCTGCTGAAATGTCCAGATGTGAATTGCAGTGATGCCTTAAACTCACTTTTAATATATAAGGAAATAATATGTGCGTTTGATTGACAGAGGGAGGGATTGAGAGATAGAAACTCATAATGAAAGGCTAATTTTGCGAACATAATGAAAGGCTAATTTTGTGTCCAGGTGGTGGGTGCGTATGTATTCACTGTATATTTATTTAAACTTTTCTGAATGTATAAAATTATTCATAATAATATGTTGGAGAAATATGTGATGTTTATTAAAATATTCCAGCAATATGGAAATCTCAATGTATAACGAGAATAAACACACATAGCACCACCAACTCAAGATAATAGCATTTTGGCAAATACACTTTCAGATCAAGTATGTATATAAAAGAATGGATAATTATTTGGTAAAGAATATAATAGCATCAAAACCTATTTTGTAAGATGTTGTCATGAAGCTCTTTTATTTCAAAGTATTGATCTACTCAAACTGCCTAATGAGCTTGTCCTTGTGAATGTGCCCTAAACTCTCAGCAACAAAGGTCCAGGAGGGTGTATTTTTGCATTAGTATTAAATTCTTCGCTCCTTGAATATAGACAAACACGCAAGTAATTATTTGAAATTTGTAGAATGAATGAAAGAATGTTTTGTAAATGCTTTTTAATGCTTTATAAAAATGAGGGTGTCAGTGTTAAACCTTTGTCTATATGTAAACCTCCTGTATCCCTTACAATCATTATTTTGGTCCATCATTTTTATGTAGTTTGATTTCAGAAAGTTTTGATCTTGAAATGTTCTTCTTTTACCTTCAAAGAGAAAATTACGATATGTGCTACATACATAGTGATGGAACTTCATTTCCTTAGCGTGCTTAGCTTTCCTCTGAAGTCTGACAACTCAACAATTTGTAGAGTGTTTGTTCCTTAACATCTTTCATCAGTCTCTTCTTCTCCATCCTCGGCCCCATCTCTGTTTAGATACATCTCATCCATCCCAGGAACACTACCACACTCTCCTGTTGGGCAACTGGTCTCATGTCTCCCTACACGTGTTGCCAGAACTTTATCTGACAAATTGCTTTCACTGTGCTCCTTTGGATGAAAAGCCCCTACATGCTGTTCTGCAGGATCTACTCCGATCCCTAGTGAGGATCCCACAGCCTTCCACAGCCCACGTTTCAACTATGACCATGAAATGTCATCGAATGCATTATTCTAAATTGGGTAGCAGTAACTGAAATTTTGCTGAAAGATGATAACTTGGGTATAACAGGTGCATATCCTCCCCACAGTTGATTTCTGTACCATGCACAGAGAGACAGGCTGCTATGTTAGCATTCAGGAGGGCTAACTGGAAGAGAAGGTCAATGCCCCAGGACTGCCTGGGCATGAATTTCCTTTGTCCTTTAATCTCAGTGCCCAACACTGAACAGCCCACTTACTTTTTCAAAGGCAGGGAGGTAACGATTTATTGTTCTCTCTTTGATCTGGATCATCTTGGCGTCTTTTTGATCAGGTGGACATAGTGGTAAAGTCATGATCATTTCATTCAAATCTGCCATACCTTCAGAATACATATCAATCCTGAAAGACAAAAATGACCCAATTGTCAAATGTCACCTGCTTTACATGTTATAGTTTAAAAATGTAAGAGAATGGAGCATCAGGAGGTGGCAAAGTAATTCACCACCACTGGATGTGTTTTTATATGCCAGTCATGAAGCTATGAATTTCGTTAAATTTTAACATTTCATATTAAGATAGATGTATATATCTAAAATTTAGACACATGAGCAAATACAGGGACAGATAACATCAGTGAGGGGTCCAGAGTCACAGGCAGAGAGAAATTGGTGGAATCACTGAAAGTGCCCGCTAAGTCTCTGCCTAGGGTTTGCCATCTCTGCCGCGCTGGCTCTGGGCACAGACTCAGTGTGATCCAGAAGCTGAAGACCTGCCTCCTGAATCATTCCAGAGAGTCCAGGCACAGCCACCACAGTCATGTCCCTCTCCCTCTGTCATCCTTACACCACCCAGGCCCATTTATATTCCCAATATTAACAGTTCTTCACATTATTTCCCATAGATCACAGTTCCACAACCCTCTCCACATACTGTTTCTATACTTTGGCCATGTTTGCACTGCTCAAGACTCCAGCTAAAATATCCCCTAAATTGGTGCAATTATTTATATAGTTTCTACTAGTGTATACTTCAGGAGATATGTTTATATTGTTCCTAACTGGGTTTCCTATAAGAGGTTTCCCTTTTTACAGAGATAAACTCTTTATTGACATACAATTCGCACACCATAATGTCACTCTTTTTAAATGTACAATTTTGTGACATTTCATAAAGGCACAGGTTTCTGTACCATCACCGCACTCTAATTTCAGGATATCTTCATACCCCAGAGGAGTTGCAGTGTGCTCTCTCAGCATTCCACATTCTGCCCCCTGCCCCAGCCCCTGGAAACCTAAATTACTTTGTTACTATGAATATAAATGTTCTTCACATTTCATCCGAATGACATCATACTATATGAGTCTCTGGCGTCTGGTTTCTTTGATGCAACATAATGTTTTCAAGGTTTATCCATGTTTTTTTCCTTTTCGTGGCCAAATAATATTACATTGATGAATATACAAAACTCTGTTCATGCATTCTTGAGTTCATAGACACTTCTGTTGTTTCCACTTTTTGAATATTATGCATAATGTTATTGTGAACATTTCTGTACAAGTTTTAGTGCAACCCGGTTGGTGTGGCTCAGTGGTTGAGTATCAACTCATGCACCAAGAGGTCACTGGTTTGATTCCCAGTCAGGGCACATGCTCAGGTTGTTGGCCAAATCCCCAACGGGGGGCATGCTGGAGGCGGCCAGTTGATGTTCTCTCTCATCTATGTTTCTATCTCTCTCTCCCTCTCCCTTCCCCTCTCTCTAAAATTGATTTTAAAAAATTTATTTAAGTTTTAGTGTGGATGTATTTTTTATTCTCTTGGGTACATACCTAGTAGTAGTGGAGATGCTGACATAATGGTAACTCTATGTTTAACTTTTGGACTAACTACCAGCAGTTCCTTAGAAGACTTTAGTTTCAATCATGTGATCCCATCACAACAGGGAGTAGACCGCCCCCCCACCCCACCCAAGATGTGGTTGCATTGACTAAATATGGCTGCTTCAGTACTACATCAAAACAGTTGAGGTAACCCTAGCATCTTGGGCACCAAATCAAGCAAACCCTTGTCAAGGGGCCAGTCCATGCAGTTGGCTCATAAATTAAGTTCTTGTTAATTATTCTTATAATTTATGAACTTGAAAATTAGCTTCTCTGGATCCTTTCCTTTCCCAGCCTTTTCTTGAGAGACCTGAGCACCTGGAGTCATGATTCCACCATCCTCCTGGCTTCATAGTCCATTAGTCTTTGGAAACCTGTCACTCCCTGTACTACACCCATCACTGAATCTTCTATAATCCCACTTGCTAGATTCCACTTCAAGTGGAACCGCTCATCCTCACGCTCTCTGCTGGACTGGACCTCAGCCTCTACCTCCAAGGCCCATGCTGCTATTGGTCAGGATCCCCCAACACAACCCTGCTCATTCAAAGAAGGATCTAAATGGTTCCTAGTAATTGTTGATAGAAACAGAAAAAATACCTACAGGGCTCTCTCCTTTATGTCTTTCCCATACAGGTTGTATTTGGCGGCGATGTAGTTGAGAATGGCTCTGCTCTGTGCCAGCTTCATCCCGTCAATTTCGACCATTGGCACTTGCTGGAACATCAGAGACCCATCTTTTGAAAGATGAAAAGAAAAACTAAAGTCAAATGTCTTATGGATCACAGTCTTGTAGTTAGAAAACATGTTTGTTGAAAATAACTAAAGATATAAAAGAAAAAAAATTATTGACTAGTAATATTTTAATGAAAATAGCACTGGGTTTCAGCCTCCTGTAATCTTTTTCTTCACAATCTGTCTTTTTTTTTTTTTTAAGATTATTTTATTTATCTTTTTACTTTCCATCCAGATACATGGTAGGTGCCTGGTTTTTTATTTATTTATCTTCATGGGATAATTTAGGAGGTATTCAGAGAGAGACTGCAGAGGTCCATCAGCCAGAAACAGTTCAAATGGGAAGTTCCCAAAGTTAGTCTCCTGGGTTCGTGGCATTAAGTTGAATTCTAAGCTCAATTCCTACATAGGCTGTGTTGTGTGCTCTTCACCCTCCACCACTGATCAGTGTGTGCGGAAGCCCTGGGTCTGGATCCAGGGCTGCTGCCCTTTCCCTCTCGCCCTCTGCACACTGTCTCCTCCATTCCCACCCACTCAACACCACCTCCCCATCTGAGTCTGCAGTACTACTGGGACACTACCTTCAACCTGGAGAGAACAGACTGAAGGCAGCTGGTGGCCCATGTCCACTCTCAGCACCTGCTGCGTGTGTTGGAGTGTCCGGGGATGGGCAGGCTCTGTGGGTCCTGAGCGGATACAGCGCACTCACAGTGCACAGAGGCCGAGGAGCAAAAGGGGGCATTCTGAGGAACAGGAATGGTTCTTTAGCAAATACTCAGATGGTTCAAGTCCTTCCTAGCCCTGAGTGAGTGATAAGACCTGCTCAATGAGCCTACCCCTTAAACCTGCCCCCCACCACCACCCCTAGCTCGCCCCACACACACACACATAGGCATTGCCTGGTATTGAAACTTCATAATTGACTTTCTAGATACCCTCATCAGAACAATTTAGATACTTAATCTTACCATTTTTTTACTTTTCCAAGTCTTCTGGAGATTCTAAAAATTTCTCTTCAACCTGGAAAGCAGAAACAGGAAAGGAGTTCATTCCATAGCATTATAGAACTTTTCACCTTGAATGACCTCTGTCCGGTTCATAATATGGAGAAGATAAGATTTCTGAGTTTGGTGGGGTACACAGAGGAGTGTGATCATGTGATTAGGAAATTTGGGTTACAGCCATCAGGAACAGAGCATGGGTTATAGCCTGTAACTGCTCACACCTGGGTTCCATTCACCTCCACCTGCTTTTATATCTGTCAGTGATGAGGACAGCATTTGGGAGGGTAGTGCTATTAGAGGGAAGGAAATGGGAAGTTCTAGTTATAAATTTTTAATACCTCAGGACAGCCTTTCTCTCCATGTGAGACAGGACAGGACATTGTGTGTCCGCCGGCATGCGGTATCCATGGACCAGTGACCATGTAAGATTTGCTACCAGGGGACTCACCCCACATTATAGGGGCCCCACCAACGGTGAAGAAGTCCTATTGGCTGTAGAGCCTTAAATCTTTCTACTCAGAATTTTCTCTTTTGAAAAGTATGACACACGCAAGGATAAAATTCGCAATTGAAGAAAATAAAAAAAAAATCCCCAAATTAATTTTTAAATGTTAACCCACACACACTCCCCCAAAACATCTTTGGTTTCTGATATGACTGCCTGGATGTGAACATCACCTCTTTCATGTACAGGTTTCTGGAATTTGAGCATATTACAGAATGTCTCTGTGTCTCAGTATCCTCTCTATAAAATGTGTAGAGAAGGGGTACCTATGTTATAGGTTGGTGTGAATAAAATCAATTAGGTATGCAAAGGCCTTTGAGCAGCAGCAGGTACAGAGTAAGTGCTCAGTAATTGCAAGTTGTCATTAGGTGTTTAAACATGGCTGCTATTTCATAATATCATCCATTCCCTTTTTGAAAATAATTAAAGCTTTCTAATATTGGTGAAAATGTACTCTGCTCTTTGCCTACATTTCTTGCCCCACCCTCTCTTCAGCCACGCTAGGATAAAGGAGAAGAAGAAGCCTTGGATGTTCTCAACATCACCTCCCTCTCACCTTCCTATGGTGAACTCCTCCTGCCCACGGGCTCTGAGCACATCCCTGATCCCATACCTGATGTCTGTACTATAGAAAAAACTTTGGTTTACTGGTGTAAAGAAAGAAAACAATCTGGAATGTCACTACTAATATTTTTGAGTACTTTTCTAGGTATAAAATTGAGAACGGACCAAGCTAAAGTTCTGTGCACTCATGGAACAATCAGGAGTACACTCCAAGGCTGAGGGAAACATGTTGGTACAGAGGACAGCACTAGAAGGGAGGGCACTAGAAACCCCCACACCAGGCATCCTCATCCAAACCCCCCTTTACTGCTCCCCCCCCGAGGGACAAGGAGCTCATCCAGGACTCCCTCCAAAGGAAAACCTGGCTTCCCCAGAGAGGCTGGGCTCCTCTGATCTGGACTGAGAAGTGTTTTTCTCATGGACTCCTCCAGAGGGCAGAGCTCAACAGAGACTGACTTCCAAAACTTGACCAGCTTTCCACAGGAAGATCTGGCATTTTGTTGCTGTAAATGCTTGGATGTCCTTCCGGATGCTCCCATTCCGCCTTTCATTCACCTATTTGCTTGTCTGCGTCCTGACTGGAATGTACGCTTCCTGAGGGCAGGGACCTTGCCTGTTGTGTTCATGTGTGTTTCCCTCGGTCAGAGCACAGACCCGGGCACTGACAGGTGCTCAGTAAAATCACTGCTGAGTGGGTGTGTTCAAGCATTAACAGGCAGTTTCGTACATTTCACTTCTCCCCATAGGTTTGATTTACACTTTAATTTATAAAACATTTATTTTCTAATATTTTATTTTTATCTTTTTACTATGGAAATTTGTAGTGTACATAAATATAAACAGAAAATCATCTTCCTTGTTCCCATCGCCCAGCTTCAGTAACTCTCCACTCAATCTAACCGTGAGTGCTCATGCCCACCCACTCGCCCTCTTGTGGAATCATTTGGAGCCAGTTCTAGATCTCATATATTTCACCTTGAAATACGTCCATCTGTTCCTCTAAAACATAAGAATTATTTTTAAAATAACCATACTACATTATCACACCTAAAACATCAACAATAGTTCTTTAATATCATCCAATATTCAATTGCTGTTTATGTTTCTAATGTTGCATAAATGCTATAAATAATATTTTAGGGTGTGTTTAAATTCACATTCAAATAAGGCCCACACATTATGATTAGTTTCTTAAAGTTATTTTAATTGTTTCTGCTCATTGATGAGAATAAATTTTAATACTATATTAGGCCAAATCTATTAATCTCTTAATAAGTGGTGTTTTTTGTTTTAATGCAAAACTCATGATAAGCTTAAAAATAAATTTTTTTTTTTTAAAAAAAAGCCTTTAGCTTAATAAAAAAGTATGGCAAGATAGTAAACTGAGACAAAAGAAATTAAACAAGGCCATACAATATGAACAACTTACAACAAGCTAGCAATCACAAGGCCTTATCATTGGTAACCAAGGACACTTGAGAGTAAATGATTTATACATCCACTCACTAACCAGAGAATACATAGCTTAAATCACCCCAGTGGGGAGATAGAGGACAGAGACCAGTTACTGCCATTTGTGCCAGCTATCCCCAGGATAGATGTCAGGGGAGCAAATAACAAAAAACCCCATTAAAGCCAGACAGATCCAAGATAATAGGAAAACAGTAAAGCAGACCAAAGAAATATCCCAAACTGCCCTATACGCTCATTGTGATGCATCCGCATATTAAAAATACACCTGGAAGGCTGATGGGTGTTCTGCTGAAACCCTCCCCTGAGAGTCTCACCAACAGAAAAAATAAAAATAAAAGATAAAAACCCTCAAGACAAAGTGCCAGTGCAGGCTCTTTCTAGAGCACACCCATCCCCCTTGTCAGGCATGAACTCTTTACTCTCTCGCAAGACTTGCAACCAGAGGAGCAGCGGGCTTACCTCTGATTGTGTCTCCAAGGCCCCCTTTTTCTCTGATTCCCAGTAAGTGCAAAGTAGCCCTCACTTTTTTCTCCGCCCCCGCCCCTTTTTTTTTCTTTATTGATTTTAGAGAGAAAGGGAGATGGAGAGAGAGACAGAAACATTGATGAGAGAGAGCCTCGATTGGCCACCTCTTGCACGCCCCTCACTGGGGATCGGTCCCACAACCTGGGCACGTGCTCTGACCGGGAATTGAATTGGCAACCTCTTGCTGAATGGGTTGATGCTCAACCACTGAGCCACCCCAGCTGGGCTCACTTTTTTCTATAAAGTTTCTAGGAAGCCAAGCAGAGCACCACCTCTGTTCTCTCCTTTGTTTCACTGTCCCAAGGTTTAATAAACATATTCTCAAAATCACCTGGACTCATATTGTGAAATCTTTCCTGCACAACGTTCAGAACCCACACACTACAGGCCAGCCTGAGGCCAACTCACTCAATGTTGGTTTTAGTCTGGTAACAAAAGTATTTGATACCAGCAATTTTAGATCCAATTTAAGATGACAGAACTCAGAACTGACCTCGACTACAGCTGCAGGCAGGAGCCACCAGATGGACTCCATTCGACCTCGTCCATTGAAATAGTGAAGTCTGAGCTTCCCCACCATGACGCAGTCTCCTGGGTTCTATAAACATGAGGGAATGAATAAATAAATGAAGGAAGGAAATCACAGAAGCAACAATTCACTTCCTGAAGTGTGGTGGAAGAGCACCAACAATGCTCAAGTAGTGTCTTCCTTCTTCATGGCAGAGTCACAAGAGTCCCTGGAATGTTTTTGTTGATCTGAAATCTCACCCATCACAAGCCAACCCAGTAAATTGCTCCAAACTATTCTCATGTCTGTACTGGGTAAAATCTGATTGACTTGGTGGGCTACTTGGGGGAGTCTGTGGTAAGGATGTATGTGTAGGTTTTACAAAGAGGGGAAGGATTAAACAACTAATATCGATTGAAAATCTCCTAATCACTCTGACCCAGTGTAGTCCCCTTGGATACAATTATCTTTAATCCTCATGACTGTCCCTATGAACTAGGGTTATTATACCCATTATTCAGCTCATGAAGCCAAGACACAGAGATCAGATGACATGTCCACAGTCACATTCCAGTTAATGATGGACATGGAAATCCACACTGAGGACAAAAAAAGGGCAGAGCTGAAAACCACCCAGGTGTGGGGCCTGAGAGCCTGGGAGGTGCCTTGAAACCAGAGGACTCCCAGACAGGGGGAAAGAGGAGGGAGCAGAGTCAGTCCTCAGTCTCGTGGTGGTTACGCTGCATTTGTTCAAACACTGAAATTAGCACTGAGACTCACCTAACTATAGCTGCAAAACTGCCAATTCTTTCTACAGACACAGGGTGCTAATCCTTACCTTATTGGAATTCTACATTGTATCTATACTTGGTATGTTTTATAATCTAGAAAAGTTAATGTTACTGCATTCACTTTACAGTCCATGGAATAGAACTATTATGTGTTCCATGCCTGTCATGCAGTGGGCATTCTCTCACCTATTTATCATCACTTAATCCTGTACAAATGACCTGAGATGAATTCTATTATCACTCTCATTTTACAGGTGGGGACACTGAGGTTTCCAGAGTATCTTGCCTAAAGTAAATGGCGGACCTGGGATTCAAACCCACTGCTATTTAAAACCAAAATCTTGGCTTTATTTTCTATGTTAGAAGTGTTTTAAGATATGCATGACCATCCTAAAGAGAACTGTCATATCCACCAATTTTTCAAAATGAAATAGAAAATATCAGAATGCATTCGATGTCGAAAAGGTAAGCATTGTTTCATGTGGTTTTCGTTTCAGTTATGTTTGTTGTTTGTATAGGCGTGTGTATGTCTGCACACTCCTCTGGTTATTGTAATGGTAAGAGATACCTTGGTTGCGTCTGGAAGTAGACATAGCCAGGAACCTGAGAATGAAACTCAGTGGCTCCAACAATGGACAGAACTGGGTCTAGCACTGTGTGGATGAAAACACACAGGGCTCATAAAAAGCATGAATCTCAAAGCCAGGACTTCGAGGGAAACGGTTGCATTTCTATCTAAATCCCAAGCTCTGTTTAGAAAACATTAATTCTCTTGAAAACTTTTGTTGTTGTGGACTTTGACACAAAAAATATACTTCTCTTTACCTAATAGATATATCTCTGAAAAAGTGAGTGGACTTGCATTTTAATATCAAAGTGTTTTCAATATCCACATTATTAATGTGAGATTCAATAGTCTAAGCTTCAGAGAGTAAAGCCTCTTGGAAATATACTTAATCAACCTGTTTTGTAAGTGGAGAGCTTGTCTATTGTACTTTCTTATGGGAAATGGAGATGCTATGATTCAGCAGAATGAAAAGGAGAATAAAGGTAACGCTTGCAGTGACATGTTTGTTATGGACAAGAATGCACAGAGCTTAGTGACTCAAATCCTCTCACTAAGATCCCTCATTCCATTGATTCCTTCTTAAAAGCAACTTTCTTCACCTTCCAAATAGGAGGTTCCCAATGTCCTGATAAGACTAGGCCAAAAGTTATGAAACTTTGCCTGGTCAACAGAAAATGAGAACTACAGAGATTGGACAATTTGCCAGAGGTCACACATATGTGTTCCTGATTTACAATATTTACCAAGTGGGTCTACTCTCTACAACAATCCTAGGAAACAGCTTTTAATATCTTGTTTTAAAGATAAGGAGACTAAAGTTCAAAGAGATAAAGCACCTCTACTACGCTCTCATGTTTTGCGAGCATTGGGTTAGTCTGAGCTCGTCTTCTGATTTCAGGTCTGGGCTTTTCACTCAACCACATAACACTTTGGCAGGCTTTCTCCGAGACTCTTGTTCATTTTTCCCTTTGGAAATCATTAGCCAACTATTGGTTAAAGAGGAGGAAGAGAAAACAATATTGAATTCACAAGATCCTTTCTGTTCCCTGATTTTTAGTGGTTTGACAAGAAGAAATATGTATTAATAGGTGCATGCCTTGCTTTACATTGATATCCTAAAAAACTTTGGGTAAATTGAGAGCTAGCATAGCTATATTCCACCTTAATAATGAAATGGGTTTATTTTCCTTGAAAGGAATATGTTCTATGATAATTCCATAGTAAACTAAAGGAGCTAAATCTCTGGCAGTGGTTTCTTAGCAGAGAGATGGGAGACTTGGAGACAAAACTCAACTCCTTTCTTTATGAGGTTTATAAGCATGATAAGGTTGTTTAATATTTGCACCCCAATTCTCTCTTCTAACAATAGAGATAGGTATATGTACTTTTGAAGGCTATTAAGAAAGTTAAATGTGATAATGTACATAAAATTCATATTAGGAATCATCAAATGCAAGTCCCCTCCTGTTCCCAGTTTCTGGGAGATGAGAGAGTCTCTGGACACATTGGGTAGCACATGTGTCTTCCTTCTTTTGTCTGTCAGTCTATCCATCCATGTGTCTATCTGCCTATTTTATCTATCTATCTATCTACCTATCATATATCTGTCTGTTTATCATCTAACATCTATCTATCATGTATCTATCAATCTACCTACCTATCAATCATCTATTTGTCAATCTATCTACCTATCATCTGTCTCTCTCTTGACTCACAGTTCCAGTACAAATAAGATTTTATCCACCCTTAGTCATTCTTCATGTTATCCAGCATTTTTCCTCAACCATGTTATCCTAACCGACACATTTTTTATATTGAATTGGAAATACCTTATGGTTGATTGCGGTTGGCTATTAAATCTATGTAATATTTCCAGGGTCAACTTGTTTTGAAAAATACAGTAACTCTCTATCCATTCTAAACACTCTTTCAACTCTACAGACTATAAATAGCACCAGGATGGAACTTTACCCCACTCTGTGTTCTTTCAACAAGTGCAGAGTGAAATGAAAAGAAAAAGTGAAAATATTAATCTTAACTGTGTCTACTGAATTGATGAAATGACGAAGTCTTGTAAAACTTGTAAACAAATGATCATTGTTGATATCTTAAAGGCATAAAGTTTGAAAATTTGAGAAAATATATATTTTAATACTACTGTCAAGTCCATTTCTTAAAACTAATTAAATGTACATGTTTATAATAAACATTTGTTAAAAAACAAGCAAACAAAAAAGAACAATGGACAGGACAGTTTCTCACAGCAACAAATTGCCCAGCCCAGTGCCAACAGTACCATAGTTGAAAAAGCTGCTCCAGCCACTTGCTAGACCTGTCATGAACCCCAGATAGATAGCGGGACTTCTCAGTTAGCTAACCACACCAAAGACTGAATACAATCTAGTTCTGCTGACATTCAGTCTAATTACATCCAAACCTAATACATTTTAATTTTGAATTTTTACAGCCTCTATTGTATTACAGTATTACCATTCACAAGGGTTGAGTGTTGACTACTTCAACAGAGAAAGTAACTTCAGTATAAACACCTACACTCTTTTGCACTGATCATATTCTCAGATTGCCTAAAATGGTATTATTTTCTTCTTCTTATATTGTTAATTATTCTCACATCACAATGCTCATGCCCTAGTGTTCTAATTTCTTCATGTTTACATTTTCATAAAGATGTATCCAACAGCAATTGAATGAAAAACTTTTGGACTGTCCCCTAAGCACACCAAGAAGACACAATGGGAGCCCTGGCCGGTTTGGCTCAGCAGTTAGAGCGTCGGCCTGCGGTCCTGAGAGACCCGGGTTCGGTTCCCGCTAAGGGCACGTACCTCGGTTGCGGTTTGTCCCCGGCCCTGGTCGGTTGTGCGGGTGGCAGCCACTCGATGTGTTCCTTTCACATCGATGTTTCTCTCTCTCTCTCTCTGTTCCTCTCTCTCCCTCCCAGTCTATCTGAACAAAAAATGGAAAAATGTCCTCCGGTGAGGATAAAAAAAAAAAAAAGAAGACACAATGGGAGAATAAAATGAACATTTTCTTGTGCTAAGGACACATTTTTAATTTTTTTAACTTAAATGTAAAGATGTAATGCAACATTTGAAGGTTTATATAATCAGTACTTACCTTATTAAAGTCTGTCTCCCACTTGTGTCAGCAACTCAATGCCACCTCCTCATGTGTTTAGCAGCTGTTTTGACAGTTGAATAACTCCTCCTCTCTGAAAGGGAGAGCTTCCTGACAAACAGAAAGCCACTCCCACACTGTTCAGGGTCCATGGGTTCAATGCCAAATTAGAAGGAAAATTACAAGTCATCCTCATATCATGAAACAACTGGTTAATATGTCCCTTATCAAGGTCAACAAATAAAAGATTAAACAGAACATTTCAGATTATTGGACTCTCTCTGCCAGTCAGAAGAAACTTGCTGTGAGGTTTTTATAAATTGGGTGCAAGGACTAAGGCAGATGATAAACCTCTCCTATGAGCACAGAAGGGAGTTGAGGTCAGTAAAGAGCAAGCTGATTGTGGAATATTTTTTATATTGGGTTGTCCTGATAACATACAGGACATCCAATTAAATGTGAATTTCAGAAAAGGGACACACTTACACTAAAAAAATATTTATTGTTTATCTAAAATTCACATTAAACTGGGTATCTTATATTTTCTCTGCTAAATATGACAACCTGAACAGTATACATTTTTCTCTCTGCACACACGTATCAGCCTTGCTAGCCTCTGAGCCTTTGCACGTGCTACTTGTTCTGTTTGGAATACTCTCCTTTGAGCCACTACTGTATTTTTGACACTATATGTTTAATATCAGTTTTCCCCATATCCTGTGAAGTCCTGAGGGTAGAGCTTTTCCAGTCACGCCCCCGTTTTCTGGTTCAGTGCTTGGCACAAATTAGGAGCTCAATAAGTAATAGTTTTAAAAAATTATTAAATGGAAAATTTCCAGCAAATACAACCAAGAGAGAATGGTAGAAAGTTGAGAAAGCCCAATGTACCCCTCCCTCTGCTTCAGCAACTGTCAACACTCTTTTTCATCTACACCCTGTTGTGGGTGGCATGGTGGCCCTTAAAGAGATAAATCCATGTCCAAATACCTGGAACCTGTAAATGTGACCGTACTTAGAAAAAGCGTCTTTGCAAATGTAATTAAGTAAGGGAACTTGAGATGACATCATCCTGGACTACCCAAGGGGCCCCCAAATCTAACAAGTATCTTTACCACGGAAGAGAAGAGGGTGAGGTGATAAGAAGACGGAGGCAGAGATTGGAGTGATGTGGCCATGAGCCAAGAAAAGCAAAGAGCCACCAGATGCGGAAAGAGGCAGGAAAGGGTCCCCCCTAAAGCCTCCAGAGGAAGTACGGCCCACCAACATGCTGACTTTGAATGTCTGGCCTCCAAGAGTGTAAGAGAATAAATTCTGTTGTTTTAAGCTACCCAGTTTTAGTAATTTGTATAGCAACCACAAGAAACTAATGTATGGGAACCTATTTCTGCCACAACCATGGGATTATTTTGAAACAAATACTAGACAGCCTATCACTTCATCTATCAAACATTAGGTATGCTAATCTCTACAAGGTAGGGACTCTTTTCAAGCATAATCCTATTATTCTCTTATCGCACAAATGATTATAATCCCTTAATTTCATTAAATATTCAGCTTTCTAATTTTGCCCATTGTCTCGTGAAGATTTCTTTATAGTGGGCTTATTTGCATCAGGATCGATGCAAAGTCCATACATTGCACTTGAGTGGTATGAAGAAATCTGTTCTGAGGACACGGGTCAGTGAACACAGTCAGGCAGATGAGAGTGTGTGTGGAATCCTGAGGGACTGCCAAAGCCTAGACTTGAACCCTTATGTCATCAAAGTGTGAGTGAAGTTGTGCAAGGTGCTATTACCATTTGTGATGGAGCCATGGGGAAGCAGCCAGGCCTGCCCACACACCAGGACCTCGCAGGAGAGTGGAGGAGGCACAGTGGCATTCAGCTTGCTTAGGGGTTGAGAAGGCCCTGTGAGGGGCACGGAGAAGAGCCCGGCTCTCTCTGAGAAGCCTTAAGCATTGCCAGGTGGGAAGGAGGGTTGAAGTGGCATCCCCACAGGCAGGGGAGTCACTGAAGGACTTAAAGAAGGTGGAGACATTCAAATGTGCATTTTAGGGAAAGCATTGTGGTTGCAAGTAGACAGCAGACTAAATGGAAGTGAAGCTGCAGCCAGGGAGCCCTGTGTGTCTGTCAGCTTCCTCCCCCAACTTTGGGGAAGCTCGCTCTCGAGGAGAAGAACTCAATATGCCAAAGCCCAGGTTTTCTGGGAGGGTATTCATTCATTATTAGCCCCGAGTGTGGCTAAAGCTAGAAATCACTCCTAATCTAACCACTCTGGCCCAGTAACAGGCCAGACAAAAATGATTTTATGTACCTTCATTTACACATAATTTATACATGTAACCTGTATCTTGGAAGTCCAGGTCTCAGAGACATTGACTGAACTGAGAGAAAGTTCTGCCAGAGGCCCCACGGATCATGAGGCAGCAGAGCAATGATGTGCCAGGTAGTCATGAACTGTGAGAGACGGCCGAGTCACTAGAGAGCAGAGCCAGGGTTTGTTTTCCTGCTCATTATTTCCCCACCTCCTAGAACACTAAAGAGTCCTCGGGAGTCATGCAGCTGGTGTATTGCACAAGAGCAAAATGCATAACAAGAAAACCTTTTTAATTATCAGGAAAAAAATAGCTCCTAAAGAAAAGGAAATCTCATTATGCCATTACATAGAACGATAGCTATTTTCCTGTGAAAACGTGGGAATGTCAGATACAAATTTCTATATTTTCCTTTTTTTATTTAACTTTGAATTGCAAAAGAGACATGATAGAAGACTAAAAATCTGAGTTCCTATTGGATCTTAATGAACGAGAATAAACTGTAACTAAATCTGCTCATAGCAGCCTATTATTGAATTACTGGAGGAAAGCCTATTATCCTCACAACAGCCAGGACCTACATCTAGGTAGAGCACCGCACTGTTGGAACATTTCAGAAGATGGATCCTGCGTGTGCTGGGCGTTCGCGCCTGCTTTATTTAAACCTTGAAAATCTTCCTGGCTTCTTCTAACTTTTTCGCATCTGCAGGAGGCTTCCTCTGACTGCCGGGCTGCAGAAACTTCTTCACAGTCGGGAGGTTGCTGATTCTGGTCCTCAGGGCCTGCAATGCAGAGAGCACAGCCTCAGAGCGGAGACAGAGCACCCACCCCATCATTAGCACAGGCCAGGGGATCTGAGACCCTCCTAGGCCAGAACCAGCGGAGTCCCCTCCATCAGCACCAGTAGGAGGCTGGGAAACAGACACCAGCGAGAGGGGAAGATCAGGGGAAGAAAACACAGCTCAATAGCACTTTCCCCAGAGACCAGGTGATGACTTGATTCAGCTCACACTCTTCCCTGTCTTCTTTGCTACATGGAAGTTCTGCAGCTTCCTCCCTCTTGTGCAGACAAGGAGGCCTATGCCTCTGTCAGAACGGCACAGGCAAAGGCTCCAAATGGGAAAAATGAAGATGTGGGAAAACTGGGCTGGAACTGAAGATAGGAAATATAGACGGCAAACCATGAGCACAGTCAAAACCAAGTTGCCCTCTGAGAGAGAAAGACAGAAAGAGAGAAGGGCTGTAGGGAGAGAAACACAACATCTGGGAGAAGGGGCAGGTGCTGAGGGAAGAAAATCAGGGGAAAGAGACCTGCTTACATAGACTCAGGTAGCATAGACAAGGACACACCGGGAAGAAAGGGAATCCCAGACAACATGAGGACAGAAACTGTGGGGACAGGGATGCAAGGACAGAGATGCTGAGTCCTGGGTCCTTTGCACTGGGAAAGACAAACTATTCTCCTTGAGATAGCATCCGCCTCCAATGTCTTGACCAAACAAGATTCTTTTCCCCTCTTAGACCAGAGCTTACGAGCTAATTTTAAAGACCTGGGGGCAGCGAGGCCCAAACCATGATGGGATCCTAACATCACCAGTTCACGAACCCTGATATTAGATTCCAGATGGGAGATGGGGCCTTCCCTCCCAAGGACTGTGAGAGACGTCACCTTCAGCAGAGGGAAGTTGGCCAGAAGGCTAGGGTCAGTCTCTTCAACATGGTACATAAGGTCAATCATGTGGATGTCAGCCCTGCTCAGCTTGTTGCCAACCAGGTACTTGTCCATGGCTCCTCAACACCTGTTGAATTGGAGGGGTCAGATTATGAACACAGGCACAGTCAGGCTGGGTCCCCCTGCTCCTGCCCAGGTCTCTCCAGCCCGACTTCCCGCCTCTGCTGCCTCACTGCGCAGGTGTGAAGATTCAGACCATCTTCACGCCCCGATTCAGGGAGAGAGAGAAGCGGGTGTCTGCTGCTGGTTCCTCACTTCGCAGATGGAGTCCAGGCTACCACGTCTTTTTTCTGTTCCCATATCACTGGGGCTCCCTGTGTGCACCGTCCGCTGGCCCGTGCCCGCCGCGAAGCCTCAGCCGCCCTGAGCTCATGTTGTAGCTCACTGTCCTTAGAATCCAACTTGTCTTTGAGCTGCCCTAATTAACAACCTCAGAGACAGCAAGATGAACAATGGGGAATGTTATAGACGGCTTTAGTCCCATAAAAATTAACCAGAGTTTGACCTTCACTGGGAATGTGAAAAGCAACATCCTTCAGGAAAAGGGAGGACAGAAATGGCCCCAAGGCCAGAGTGTCTGCATGCTCTGTAAAGAAACTGATAGGGAGAAACTGAAGCTCCCTTTACCCCATAAAACTGTAACTGTTCAACATGTGTGTATTGCACCTGACTGACCGCTGATATCCGTCTCGAATTTGTTAGTTTTTAAAACTTGGATAATGGAATGAATAGCAGGACAGATGTATGCTGACCCAGTTTACCCAGTTCCCTTTCGCCTCAGCTCCCTCCCACCTTCGTTCCCTCCTGCTATCGCTAACTGCCTCCGCTTCTGTACACGCAGCTTGCTTTCTCTGCTAAACTCTTGAATGACCCCTGCCCTATATAAGCAACCCTCCCCCTGAGCTCGGGGCTGCAGTTCTCCTCTGTGTAGGTTGGCTGCAGTCCCTGCGCTGGTACTAAAACATCCCCAAAAACTGAAAAATTGAGTCTGAGTGTGGTCGATCTCCTGGGTTACAACACTCAGGACAGCTCTCCACGCCGTTCTTTCTCCCTCTCCCTCGGGTACTCATCTTCGTGACAGCCTTCCTTGATCCTGAGAGGACTGTTTCAGAGTCTATATTTCTCCTTTTGTCTGCTCTCCTCATTGCCTGGTCTACCTGTCTGGGACCTGAAATAAATCCTCCCGGATCAACTTGAACTCACCATCTCCCTTTCATCGTCTCTGATTCCTAACCCACTCGTATCCGTCATTAGCATTGGAGGAATACGTTATAAGTCGCATGCTGAACTGCCTGGGGTGACTGCGCTTGTCTGTAACATACTTTTAAATGCATCAAAAAATAATGTGTTTGAGCAGAGGAGAGAGGCATGGGGAGATTTATGGTTAAGCTAACATAATTATAAGATGTTCATTTTTGAATCTAGGTGGTCAGTATATATGAATTTATTGTACATTTCTTTCCACTTTTCTGTGTTTGAGTTTTTCATGATTAAATATTGGAGAACTATGTGACACTTATTAAAATTATTGCAACAATATGGAGATCATAGAGAAAAATACACACTTGGTATCACCAACTAAAGATAACACTTTGGCAAATACCATTTTAGACTATATATACATATAGAAGAATGGATAAATAATTAAATGACTGCAACAAAACATCAAATGCTGTATTGTAATATGCATTTTACATTCGTGTTATCAGGGGGGCTCTTTATTTTCAAAGTATAGATGTTCCTAAATTATAATGTCTGTTTAGGGTTTCATCATGAGAAATGTGCCTACACTCTTAGCACCAAAAGGGCCAGGAGAGTATATTTTCTGATTGATATCAAATTCTTTGCTCTTTGAATTGAACCTCACACACAACCAATGAATTAACATTTGCTGTGTGAATGAATGATTTACTGCTTTATAATAATTAGTGCATCAGTATTAATCTTTTTATTTCTATATAAGCCTTCCGTATCCCTTACAATCTTTTTGTTGTTGTTGTTCGTGACTTTTATTGAGCATGATTTAAGGATGTTTTTATCTTGAAATACTCTCCTTTTACATTCAAAGAGATGCATTAAGTAGGATATGAATTATGTATAATGATAGACCTTTATTTTCTTAGTTTTGCATGACTATCCTCAAAAGTCTGGGAGCCACATCCACAAAACTTGTAAATTATCTTGTCCCTTAACATCTTTTCACCTGTCTCTTCTTCTCCATCCTTGGCCCCATCTCTGCTTAGATACATCTCATCCATCCCAGAAACGCTACCATATTCTCCTGTTGGGCAGTGGGTCTCGTGTCTCCCTATGCATGCTGCTCAATTATTTTCTAATGAATTGCTTTCATTGTGATCCTCTTGGATGAAAAGTCCCTACATGCTGTTCTGCAGGATCTACTCCAATCCCAACTGTGGATCCCAGAGCCTTCCACAGCCCATGTTCCAAATATGACCATGAAATGCCATCAAATGCATTATTCTAAATTGGGTAGCAGTAACTGAAATTTTGCTGAAAGATTATAACTTGGGTATAACAGGTGCGTATCCTCTGCACAGCTGATTTCTATAACATGCACAGAGGGACAGGCTGCTATGTTAGCATTCAGGAGGGCTCACTGGAAGTGAAGGTCAATGCCCCAGGACTGCCTAGGCACAAGTTTCTTTGTCCTCTAATCTTAGTGCCCAACACTGAACAGCCCTCTTACTTTTTCAAAGGCAATGAAGTAATAATTTGTTGTTTTCTCTTTTATCTGGGTCAGCTTGGCAACATTTTTATCAGGTGGACATGGTAGATAAAGCATAATCATTTCATTCAAATCTGCCATACCTTTGGAATAGATATCAATCCTGAAAGAAAGAAAGAAAAAAATGACCCAATTGTCAAATGTCACCTGCTTTACATGTTATAGTTTAAAAATGTAAGAGAATGGGGAATCAGGAGGGGCAAAGCACTTTACCACCACTGGGCACATTTTTGTTTTTGTGTTTGTTGATCCTCACCAGAGGATATTTTTGTATTGACTTTTAGATAGAGTGGAAAGGAAGGAGGGAGAGAGAGAGAAACATCAATGTGAGAGAGACACATTGATTTGCCCCCTCCCTGGCCCTCTTGTCACATCCAATCCCAACCAGGGCCAGGGATAAAACCTGGAACCCAGGTACGCACCCTCAACTGGAAATCAAAACCACCACCTTTTGGTCCTCAGGCCTACACACTAACCACTGAGCAAAACCAGCCACGGCCATTAAGTGCATTTTTATATGCTGGTCATTCATCTATGATTTTCACTTAATTTTAACATTTTATAACAAAGTGGGTATATACACCTAAAATTTTCATTAAACACATGACAAAATACAGGGACAGAGAACATCAGTGAGGGGTCCAGAGTCACAGGCAGAGAGAAATTGGTGGAATCACTGCAAGTACCCACTGAGACTCTGCCTAGGGTTTGCCATCTCTGCCGTGTTGGCTCTGGGACCAGACTCAGTGTGATCCAGAAGCTGAAGACCTGCCTCCTGAATAATTCCAGAGAGTCCTGGCACAGCCACCACAGTCATGTCCCTCTCCCTCTGTCATCCTTACACCACCCAGGCCCATTTATATTCCCGATATTAGCAGTTCTTCCCATTATTTCCCATAGATCACAGTTCCACAACCCTCTCCACATACTGTTTCTAAACTTTGGCCATGTTTACACTGCTCAAGACGCCAGCTAAAATATCCCCTGAATTGGTGCGATTCTTTTTTATTTTTTTTCTTTATCTTCACCCAAGGACATTTTTTTATTTTTTTATTCAGATAGAGTGGGAGAGAGAGAGGAAGAGAGGAGAGAGAGAGAGAGAGAGAGAGAGAGAGAGAGAGAGAGAGAGAGAAATGTCTATATGAAAGGGACGCATCAAGTGGCTGCCACCCGCACGACCCAACCAGGGCCAGGGACAAACTGCAACTGAGGTATGTGCCCCTAGCGGGAACTGAACCCGGATCTCTCTGGACCTCAGGTGGACACTCTAATCACTGAGCCAAACTGGCCAGGGCGGTGCAATTCTTTATATAGTTTCAACCACTGCCTATTATAAGGGACCTTTTCTCTTCAGTTCTAAGCTGGGTTTTCTACAATACTTATAAATATACCAGCTTTATTGAAATACTGTATTTACATACCATGATTATCACCTTTTAAAATGTACTGTGCAGTAGTTTTTAGTACATTCTGAAATCACCATCACAGGCTCAAATTCCAGAACACTTTCTATCACACCCCAAAGAAATTCCGTATCCTTGGCTGTCATTCCCCATGGCCCCTAAACTCCAAGGTGATCACACAACTCTTTTCTGTTTATATGGATTTGAATTTCTGGACATTACATACAAATGGAATCTATCTATATATGGTCCTTTGAGTGTAGTTTCTTTCATTTTTTATAATATTTTCAAAGTTCACTCATGTTGTCATATGCATCAGGGTTTTATTTCTCTCTATGGCTAAATTATATTCCAATGTGTAAATACACCACCCTTTGTTCATCCATTCACCAGCTGATGGACATTGTTGTTGTTTCCACTTTTTGAATGTTATGAGCAATGCTGCTCTGCACATCGTGTGCCTGTCAGGGAAGATCGTCAAGAAGATATGAATGTCATTTGACCCATGAAAGGGACCCGGGTAATTGGAGGCTCCCCAATCCTTCCCCTCTGCTAGAAGCTGTCCAAGGACACAGCCTTGAGATAAGAAAGGGTGATAAGACCATCTGGACTGGGGATGTGACCCAATTAAGGACTCTATATAAACTTTTAAGATTCTGGAAGGTGGATTCAGAAAACTACTTGTGGTGTCCCAAGACAAGCCTCATGAATATTCCCATGTTTATTAAACCTGCCACCTACCAATATGAACTGTTCTGCCTTTTTCCTCAGCCTCTCCTTGCCCTCCATATATGGGGCCAGTTTCAGATTTCACCCAAGGGCTCCAGAGGAGTTTTGGGAAGCAACAGCACAAGTTTTAGTGTGGATGTATTTTTTATTCTCTTGAGTACATACCTAGAAGTGGAGATGCTGACATATGGTAACACTGTGTTTAACTTCTTGAGTAACTGCCAACAGTTCCTTAAAAGATTTTAGTTTTAATCGTGTGGTCCTATTACCAAAAAAAAAGGAGACCCTCTATGCCATCCCCCAGGTGTGGTTGTATTGAATAAATCAGGCTGCTCCAGTACTATATAAAAATGTTCAAGGTAACAAGCTTCTTGAGAACCAGCCTCTGCAAACCCTTGTCAAGGGGCCAGTCCATGCAGTTGGCTGGTAAGTTAGGCTCTTGGTAATTATTCTTATAATTTCTGAACTTGAAAATTAGTTCTCTGGATCCTTTCCTTCCTTGGCCTTTTCTTGAAAGGCCTGAGCACCTGGAGTCATGATTCCACCATTCTCCTGGCTTCATAGTCCATTAGTCTTTGGAAACCTGTCACCCCCTGTACTACACCCATCACTGAATCTTCTATAATCCCACTTGCTAGATTCCACTTCAAGTGGAACCGCTCATCCTCACGCTCTCTGCTGGACTGGACCTCAGCCTCTACCTCCAAGGCCCATGCTGCTATTGGTCAGGATCCCCCGACACAATCCTGCTCATTCAAAGAAGGATCTAAATGGTCCCTAGTAATTGTTGATAGAAACAGAAAAAATACCTACAGGGCTCTCTCCTTTATGTCTTTCCCATACAGGTTGTATTTGGCAGCGATGTAGTTGAGAATGGCTCTGCTCTGTGCCAGCTTCATCCTGTCAATTTCAACCATTGGCACTTGCTGGAACATCAGATACCCATCTTTTGAGAGAAGAAATGAAAAAGTAGAGTGAAACGTCTAATGGATCACAGTCTTTTAGAATGCAAACATGTCTGTTGAAATTACCGAGTAACACTTAACAAAATGGCATTTTGTTTTTAGTTCTTCATAGTCCTCCTTTTTCTTATCAATCTGCCTTTTATTTTTTAACTTATTTTATTTATCTTTAAATCTTCCATTAGATACATGGTAGGACCCTTGTAATTTTGTGTTGATTTGTCTCATGGATATTTTAGGAAGAAGTTGGGGAGAGGCAGCAACAGGCTGCCAGTCAGAGGGCATTTCAAATGTGAGGCTCCCACAGTAACTTGTGGTATTCATGGTATTTAAGGTAGGTTTTGAGAGAGATTTTATGTAAGGGTCTCTTTCCCTGTATTTCAGCATCTGCAATATTGTTAGGTATTACCTTACAACAAATCATAAGAGATCATTCAAAGCCACTGCTGGGCCCATGTCCACTCTTGGCACCTGCTGCGTGTGTTGGAGTGTCTGGGGATGGGCAGGCTCTGTGGGTCCTGAGCGGATACAGCGCACTCACAGTGCACAGAGGCCGGAGAAGCAAAGAGGGGACATTTCAGGCACAGGGGATGGTTCTTTAGCAAATACTCAGATGGTTCAAGTCCTTTCAAGCCCTGAGTGAGTGATAAGACCTGCTCAAGGAGCCCACCCCTTACACCTGGACCACTTTTCTTCCTCCCCACCTGCCCCCACCCCCAGCTCCCACCAACACACATAGGCATTGCCTGGTGTTCATACCTTGCTATTGACTTTCTAAATAGATACCCTCATCAAAGGAACTTAGATATTTAATCTTACCATTTCTTAACTTTTCATAGTCTTCCAGAGTTTCCAAAAATTTCTCTTCAAACTGGAAAGCAGAAACTGAAAAGTAGTTCTGGTGATTCATTCCATAGCATTATAGAACTTTTCACCTTGAATGACCTCTGTCCAGTTCATAATATGGAGGAAGTAAGATTTTTGAGTTTGGCGGGGTACACAGAGCAGTGTGATCATGTGACTCAGAAATTCAGATTAGAGCCATCAGGAACAGAGCATGGCTTATATCCTGTAACTGCTCACATCTGGGTTCCGTTCACGTCCACCTGCTTATTTTTCTGTCAGTGATGAGGTCAGCATTGGGGAGGGTAGTGCTATGGGAGGGAAGGGACTGGGAAGTTCTTCTAGTTATGGGTTTTTAATGCCTTAGGAAAGCCTTTCTCTCCACTTGACATTGTGTGTCCCCTGGCATGCGGTATGCATGGACCAGTGACCATGTAAAATGCTGTCTCCAGGGGCCTCTGTTGCCAATTCTATCACTCCATTTTATTTTATAGTTTAAAAGGGGTACTTTATGATAAAAAAGTTTGAAATTTTCAGTTTCTAGCTTGCTCAGTGGAACAGTCTATTGTGGGGCAGCCCATATTGATAGTGAGTTATGTGTGCAGCAATTTCTAAAGCTCCTAGTTCATCAAGGGAGGGTATCCAAGGTAGGATGGGGGTATAATGTTGCTTGTGAAGCTAATGGAGATGGAGCTCATTGGAAGCTGCTGTCTCATGATGCCCCCTTTACCTGAAACCCTCCTTTACTGCTCTCACCTGTGGGGCAAAATCTCCTGAGCTCACCCATGACTCACTCCCTCTCCTGAAAGCTCTCAGAGTTGCTGAGTCACTCTGATCTGGACTGAGAGAGATGTGCTTTTCTCATTGACATCTCTACAGGGCAGAGTTCGAGTCCCTCAGGAACCAACCCATATTCCATGGGGAATCTGGCATTTCGACACTGTAAATATTGGAGTGTCCTTCTAAATGCTCCCATCCCACCTTTTAATCATCTATTTACTTGTCTGCATCCTCACTGGGATGTAAGCTTCTGGAGGGCAGAGACCCTGTCTGGGTTGTTCATCCATGCATCCCCAGGACCTAGCACAGAGCCGAGTGCTTAAAGGTGCTCAGCAAATGCATTGTTGAGTGGGTGTGTTAACATGCAGTTTGTTACAATCTGCTCCTCTTTGCATTTGTGGTTATATCTTAATTTTAATTACATTATATTCTAATATATTTTTATCCTTTTATTATGGAAATTTTTAACATGTACAAAAATAAAAGTACAAAGATTCTCTTTTTATCCGTCACCCAGCTTCAATAATTAACCACACAAGCCAATCTTGTGCCATCTACGTATCCACCCACTCTCCCTAGCTTGTGAAAATTTGAAACAAATTTTATGTAAAGTATAATTTCACACTTAACTGCTTCAATTTATACTTCTAAAACATAACAACTATTTAAAAAATAATCACAATACCACACCTAAAATCACAATTGAAAAATTAATGATTTTTAATATTCAATCAATGATCAGGTTTCTAATTGTTGTGTAAGTATCATAAATATTTTACTATTTATTGAAATCCAAATTAAAATAAGGTGCATGAATTCTGATTAGTGGCTGTTTCTTTTGTTTTCTGAAAAAATTTTTTGCCTGGCCAGTGTGGCTCAATGGATTGAGCATAATCCCATGGACTGCGAGGTCCTGGATTTGATTCCTTGTCAGGGCACAGGCCCAGGTTTTAGCCTCAATCCCCAGTAAGGGGCATTCAGGAGACAGCCAATTGATGCTTCTCTCTCACATTTCTATCTCACTCTCCCTTCCTCTCTCTCTAAAGTGATTCTATATATATATATTTTAATTTCTCCTAATTTTTTGTACTCTTACATGGGCAGCATTTTTAAAATTTGTATTGGTCAAATAGTCTCATTCTTTCCTAATATGCATAATATTTTTACTTAAGGTAAAACCATACACAGGTCATCTAGTGTGGAAGTCTCCTAGCTGATGTGAGGACGTACTTTGATACAGTCAATTTTAGATCCAACTTAAGATGACAGAACTCAGAACTGACCTCAACTCCAGCTGCAGCCAGGAGCCACCGGATGGACTCCATTCGACCTCGTCCATTGAAGTAGTGAAGCCTAGGCTTCACCACCATGACACATTCTCCTGGGTTCTCTAAACATGAGTGAATGAATGAGTAAATGAATGACTGAAACCACAGAAGCAAACTGTATTTTATGATGTACATTTGAGCAGAAGGGTGAAGTATCTGCCTTCTTTATGGTGGGGTTGGTGGAGTCTTATGAAGGTCTTCTTTGGTTCATATTCTCACCCAACAGTGGCCATCCGCGTAAAATTGCACCAAGTAAATCTCAGGTTGCCATTGTCCTCACTCTGAGGATATAAACAGAGCAGCCTGGATCCCACACATCTGTGAGTGGCTTTGTTTTTTCTTTCCTTTTATTGATTTTCAGAGAGAGAGGAAGGGAGAAGGAGAGAGAGATAGAAACATGAATGAGAGAGAACATCAATGGGCCATCTCCTGCACTATCCCCAGGCCCACAACCCGGACATGTGCCCTGATCGGGAATCGAACCAGCAACCTCTTGGTGCATGGGTCCATGCTCAACCACTGAGCCTGTGAGTGGCTTTGAAACCAGTGGACTTGATGACAGGGAGGAGGAACAGGGAGCAGAGCCACTCCTCCACTCTCGGGCTGTCAATGCTGCTCTTGTTCAAAAGCATGAACTTGGGCTTAGTCCTGACCTGACGGTCACCAAAACCTTCTAAATTCTCTCCACACAAGAGGATGCTCATTCCTCTTTTCTATTAGAATTCTATATTATTCCACTGCTGGATGAATTTTATTTTCCATTTAGAAAAAGGATGTTCGTGCATTACCTTTATAGTATATGGAAAGGAATTAACATGTTTAGTGTCTACCATATAATGGATATTTGTTTTTCATTTTTATCCTCATTCCATCTTTGTAAAAATTATTTGAGATAGATCTTGTTATTATTTTAAGTTGAAATGCAGCCTTTGGGGTTCTGGTGGCTACAAAGGTTAAACAGCTAGCCTAAAATAAGTGGTAAGCCTGTCCTTTGAACACATTTTATTTATTTCATTTATTTTTAGAGAAAGAGGAAGGGAGAGAGAAAGAGAAACATCTATATGAAAGCAGAACACTGATTGGGGATCAGTGCCTCCTAAGGGGATCGAGCCTGTAACCCTGACCTATGTTCTGACCAGGAATCCAGCCAGCAAACTTTTGGTGCATGGAACAACACCCAACTGAGCCAGGGCTGAAGATACTTTAAAAAAGACACTTTTATTGGATACCAAACTCTTGTAGCTTCTCTATACCAGTGTTTTGTGAACTATGGATTGTGCGCTCAGTGTACTACTGTGAAATCAGCCCAGTGGGTTTTGACTAACATTTTTCATTTGCAAAATAATAGCAAATATCAGTGTATCATATATAGTAAGTCTAAGTATTTTTTTTATTAAATTTTAATTTTAGTTACATTTATGTTGTGCATAAGTTTGCATATGTGACTGTGTGGTCTGGTTTTTGTAAAATGGGAAAAAGACATTTGTCTGGGATCAGCCAAAGAAGTCTGACAGCTGTTGCTCTATTCTAAGATTTCTCTGTATCACTGACATTTGGGGCTGGATAATTCTTTTTTGTGGGGTGCAGGTCTGTGCATTGGAGGATATTTACTTAAGCAGTAACCCTGGCCTCTACATACAAGATGCCAGTAGCATAGCCCTCCCCACCCCGCCCCAATGACAACCCAAAATAAAATCAGAGTCAATTTACCTCTGGCTGAGAACCACTGTTCTATACCAAGTTGGGACAGAAACACATAAATGGGAGGAGCCAAAGAGAGCTCCTAACACAATGACTGAGCAAGTTAAGTCAGGGTTTGGGGTAGGTTTTATCAGTGATATGGGTAAAAAGGCACAGGAGTCACTAAAAACCAAGGATCCAACTGCCTAGGTTTAGGAAGAGGCAATTTTCATCCCATTTTTAGTCACTAGACGTCTGGTCAGAAAATATTCTTAAGCATTTTTGCAAGATTTTGTAGTTGTTGAATTTTTTAGCAAAAAATAGATTTGTCTTCATGCAATAATTATATTTTAAAGGTACGTAAAACTTAAATTTTTATTCCTCAAAATGTAACCACAAATTAACAGTTTAATTAAGCAAAGGCTGCATATTCTGCCTTTTCTCAAGGCTGCAGCCAACCCTCTGTTTTCTTAATGTAAATTAAGCCCTGTGTTTTCATTCCCTATCTAGCCATTTTTACAGCTTAAAGAAGGACTGCTTAGTGCCAGCCATGAAAATCCACAGGTGTCTGCAGTACATCTACAAATTCCTGCTTGACCAGGTCTAGCGCCAAAAGGAGGGGAGGAAGCCCCCTCTGTTTCCCCTGCTCCCCCTTCTCAGGAGAAGCAGCATTTTGCATTCCCCTTCCCCTAATCCACTTGAGATCTTAAGATGTGTTTTTGAGGACTGGGAAAAGTCACCATATCCTCTCAAGATGCTGGCACTAGGATAAATCCCTTTCTGTTTTCACCAGCACCTGTCTCACTAGTTTAGCCAAACCTGGATTTGGTTACAAAAAGAGTTTAAATGTTCCAGATGACATTTATTTATTTATTATTTTCTTCTTAGAACTCTGTTTCTGGGTGACATGTAATGTATTTCCTCTTTGGAGGAAGTTTCATTCAAACTTCCACAAGCAATAATGGCTGGTCAGGAATAAGATACAAATCTGATTGATTCTGTCCCCTTAAAGGATTAAGGCTAGTTAGAAAAACAGGCTTGTAGACAACTGAAATTCTAAGGTTTTCCTGTGTAAGAACTCTGTTTTATTCTTTTTATATTGGCAATCCTTCCAGGGCACTACTGACTCTCATTAGGTTGCACCCTACTGGGTGACTTCATGTGCCTTCTAAAAACTAATTCTATGCTCCATTGAATATGTAGCTCTCTCCTCAATACTTCCCAAGTTATAGAGCTAGAAGGTATCTGAAAAGTTGGATAGTCCTCCAAGAGTATAATGAATATGCTACACACCAAAGAGAGGGTGAATGTGCCAGCTAGCTGGTTAGTGATAAAGTCTGAATTAGATCCTAGTTCTCCTGATGTTCAGAGTAATTTCTTCCTATTATTCCATATTACTGAATTTTCACAGCCTTCAGAGATGAGTTTCCATGTCCCCCACTAAAGTAGTGAACTTCCAAAGAAGTTGTTGTAGTACACAGTATATTGAGTACAGTTCATTGTTCTATAGGTTGCTTGCTTGAAATTCAATACACCCTCCATATGACATTGCATGGATAGATATCTCAAGAGCCACACTTTTTATTTTTTAGCATTTTTCTCATAGGGTTTGCCATTTTACAATACAGCAGTATGGAGTAATTAAATTAGAAGCGGAATCATGATAATGAAATAACCAATCCTGGTTATAAAACCCAACACTGTGTTATTTAAACAGAGCTATCAAAGCAGTAGAACTAAACCATCAAACAAGTGTTGGCGAGGGTGTGGGGAAAAGGGGACTCTAGTACACTGCTGGTGGGAATGCAGACTGGTGTAGCCACTATGGAAAACAATATGGTGTTACCTCAATAAATTAAATATAGAACTGCCATTTGACCCAATGATCCCACTTCTAGGAATATACCCTAAGAAGCCTGAAACACCAATCAGAAAGAATATATGTACCCCCATGTTTGTAGCAACACTATTTACAATAGCTAAGATCTGGAAACAGCCCAAATATCCATCAGTAGACGAATGGATAAAAAAGCAGTGGTACATGTAAACAATGGAGTACTATGCAGCTGTAAGAAAGAAGGATCTCTTATCCTTTTAGACGACTTGAGGGACCTGGAGAGTATTATCCTAAGTAAAACAAGCCAGACAGAGAAAGACAAGTATCATATGATCTCACTTATTTGTGGAATATAATGAACTAACAGTCTGAGGAATGGGGTAGTCCCAGAGACATGGAAGTGGGGTACAGACTGACAATCCCCAGAAGAGGGGGTGGTGGGGAAGAGATAAACCACAGAACTTATATGCATGTATGCATGAACAATGGACATGGACAACAAAGCTGGAGACAGGACAGGGAGGGAGGGAGAAGGGGGAATCAGTGAGGGAAAAAGGAGAAACATCTGTAACAAAAATAAATTCATTAATTTAAAAAAAAAAAAAAGGCAGTAGAACTTTCCACATAGTAGAAACACAATGGTTATGCAAAAACAAGCACAAATGTTGGGAAAGTGCTTTGGCAAGGTAACCCAGGGAAATATTTAACATGGCAAATACAAGGAATTTGCAAATTCTCTGTCAGACTGGAAACCTCACAGTTCAAGAGAAGGCCATTCTTGTATTTTCTTTTTACATTAAATTGCTTCATTTCATTTGGTGAGCTACTAATTGAACAGAAAATTCCTTGATTTCAGTAATGACTTTGGGTTTCTATTGATGTTGTCATTAATTTTGTTTTGTTTTTTCATCTTTATTGTTGAAAGTATTACAGATGTCCTCCCCTTTTCCCCCATTGACCCTCCCCCCACTTCCACACTCCTCCTACCTTCCCCACACTATTGTTTGTGTCATTGGTTATGCATATATGCATATAAATTCTTTAGTTTATCTCTTCTTTTCCCCCTCCCCCATCCTTCTGAGGCTCATCAGTCTAACAACCAACAAAAATTTCTCTATATCTATGAGTCTGTTTCTGTTCTGTTTGTTTATTTTGCTTGTAGACTCAATTGTTGACAGATATGTATGTGTTGCCACTTTATTGTTCATATTTTTGGTCTTCTTCCTCAAGAAAACAAAACATTTCATATAATACTGGTTTGGTGGTGATGAATTCCTTTAGCTTTTTCTTGTCTGGGAAGCTCTTTATATGGTCATTGATTCTAAATGATAGCTTTGCAGGATAGAGTAATCTTAGTTGCAGGTCCTTGTTTTTCATCACTGACTATTGATTGGCCTGGCCTGTAAAGTTTCTTTTGAGAAATCAGCTGACAGTCTTATAGGAGCTCCCTTATAGGTAACTAACTTCTTTTTTCTTGCTGCTTTTAAGATTCTCTCTTTGTCTTTAATGTTTTTGCATTTTAATT